CTCTCTCTCTCTGTATGTCTCTCTTGAATAAATAAATAAAATCTTAAAAAAAAAAGTTTCACATGAAGAGTTTATTAATAATTTTGGATACCCACAATTAAATACTAACAAATCTAGAGACTCAGTTTTTTCAGGTCACTATAAACAAAGTTTTTTCCCCATTATCAGTTGTCTATATACATCTAAACTACAAAATAAACATCACTACCAAAAGTTCTTTCTATATTTCCCTTTAAAACAAAACCTTTGGGTCTCTATAACAAAGCTCAAGAACATGTAAGTAATGTAGTGATTATATGTGCCTTGCTTATTATATTATACTTGAGGTCAACACTGTGGGTCTCCCTTTTAAGAAGCAACTATACCAAATAGGGTCTTTTTAGGATTTTAGTAATAACTCACTAGTGGTTTACTTACAGCATCTGACCCTTCACGGTGTTTTTAAAACCCCTGCTAAACCAAAGTATTTGCTAGGTATAATGGAGTATAATGGAATCAACATTTGGATAGAGAATCAGATTTCACTTCTAAGTGTAAATGCTGCCTTAGCCAAATCACAAACTCATCACAACCTCTGGTTTGTATCACACACAATAAAGAACTGGATGAGCACTAAATCCTCATGATTATGCTGTGATAACTTCAACTACTCCTTCAACAAATATTTACAGAAAAAATAGGTGCTACACATTGGTGTTACAAGTGTGAATAAGGCACCTTATATTTTGCTGGGGGGATACACAATTTTGCTTACTGGTTAAGTGCCATAAAGGATAATAAAACTGACAAAGATCTAGGTTGTTTAGGCAAAGTATCCCTAAGGAATAAACATCTGAAGTGGGACCTGAATGGTGAAAGCAGTCAGCCATGTGAAGTTCTTGGGGGAAGAGAATTTTAGGCAGAGGAACAACTGCAAAGACAATTCACGTTTGTGCCTTTCCCAGTCTGTAATGCTTACTTTATTCAAAATTGAGTTTCAGATTACTTTCTATTCACCCAAGTCTTCTGTGATTAACTCTACTTACAAATTATGGCTTCAGTGCTCAGTTTATAGCCACAGTTTTAAATTTGTAGTTCTGAAAATGTTAATTATTAACTGTTCTGTGTTTATTCTAGCCTGACAATAAGTCAAAAATTTCAAGGAGAGAATCTAGAATTATTCTATTAATCTTCCACAGTACCTTAGCAGTATTGTATACAGAAAAGAATGTTCATTAAATGCACAGGACCAATCACTGTAGGAAAGGAAATCAGTATTGTTTCTCCACTTTCAGAATAAGGTTTGGTCAGAGTGCTTCATAAAGAACTAAAGTAACACTGTAAATATAGTAGAAAGAACAATCGACACGAGTGAGAAATCTCAAATTCACTTTCCAGCTCTACCACTTACTTAGACATCAGGCTTCTAGTAAATCAAACCCTATGACCATTTGTCAATATAAAATGGGGATATCTGTCCTGTCTAATCAGGGTTGGTTGTCACCAACTATATTCCACAAGAGATCATGTAAAACTTCCTGTGGAAACATACCAAAATACTGGAAATAACAAATGTGTTTTCACTTTAGAACTGGAAGACACTTTAAATACCGTGTTCAATTCTTCATTTTACCTGAGAAGTCAGAGACCCAGAAAACTGAGGTTACCTGCTCAAGGTTACTGAAATATATTTTGGCAAAATCAGTATGGCATCCAATTTTTAAAAATACCCAGCCCAGTACACTTTTTACCACACCACACTGTCTTTACCACTTCTTGCAACTTAGTCTTCAATGTGCATACCTCTAATTTATTCTAATATTCTCTTCACTCAGATCCAGAATGGTAAAAACTAGATGGCTTAAAAAAAGGACAAGGTACCTACCTATGTAAGTTTCTGAGGCTGAGACCTCCTATAATTTGGTATCAGAACTGAATTTAGGAAGTGCCACCCTGATATTACTGAGTCACAAGATTAGGAATGTAAGGATTACAATCAGCTGATGCCTTAAAAATATACATCTACTAAATGACTGCATATTTGGCCTGTGGCTGGAGTATTTTTCTTACGTAGTTTCTAACTGAATCAATATAATGCTGCTTCAATTGCACTGTTTTTTTTTAAATATTTTATTTATTTATTCATGAGAGACACAGACTGAGAGAGAGAGAGAGGCAGAGACACAGGCAGAGGGAGAAGCAGGCTCCATGCAGGGAGCCTGATGTGGGACTCGATCCCAGGACTCCAGGACCACACCCTGGATCGCGCCAAACCGCTGAGCCACCCAGGGATCCCCTTCAACTGCACTGTTATTTGAGAAATACAGAACAGGATTTTATTTATAGGCAATATATTTGTACTATATAAAATATTGAAAGCAATGTAAAATACTTTTTTTTTTCTGGTCATCTTTCTTCAGTCTCTTATTTATGATTTTAATCTAGAAGCAAAATCTAAATTGAGAAATAGTTACTCACTGAGTGCCCATAGTACACTATGGATTATATAACACTGTTTTAACATGTGCAAATGAATGTAATGGGAACTATGTAATAGTTTTAATTTTAGAAAGGTCCAAATTCAATCTTTAAAGTGAAAATAAACTGAGTATTAAAAAATGAAAATTAAATTAGATAACCAGGGGTAGGCCATGTGGCTCAGCGGTTTAGCGCTGCCTTCGACCCAGCGTGTGATCCTGGAGACCAGAGATCGAGTCCCACATCGGGCTCCCTGCATGGAGCCTGCTTCTCCCTCTGCCTGTGTCTCTGCCTCTCTCTCTCTCTCTCTCTCATGAATAAATAAATAAAATATTTTTAAAAATAAATAAGATAACAAGCTAATATTAGAAATTTTCATCTGAAAACGAAAATGTACTCCTCAGGAATGTCCTAAATATAATAAAGAAAGGTTCAAACAATATCTAAGCCAAAAGAAGAATCTTTAGAAACTTAAAACCTTATCTGAAGTTAAATGGCTCTCTGGGAAGAGCAGTAATATGAAATGATGTCTCCTCAGTAACTTCCATTCTTCCAAGAAGCAATAATGTAAAATGCTTTAGAAAGTAGTGTGACAATATAAAGGCTATAAGAATCAAATGATGTTAAATCTGTGAAAGCAGTTGGTAGACCATGAAGTACAAGTTATTATTATATAACAATTTGTAGTCTACCAGCACAGTTTGCCACAGAGAAGACGTAAATGCTTATTTAAAAACTGCAATTCTTTTATACTGACTCATTGAATTTTTATTCTTAAAAAAGAAAGTTAGCCATGAAAGCTGGATCAACTATCCACTTCTGAAAAAGGAATTTATCATAGCCTCAACAGAAATCACCCCCCCCCCAACACACACAAATAAATTCCTCCCTCTTTTCAAAATATGGGTCCTTCTTTTAGCCATGTGACCTTAAAGAGGGTCACTGTTCCTCTCAGGAACTCAGTTTCCTAGTAGTAAGTGTCAGGTACCCTGTTGGGTTTTGATTATATTGCCTAACAGGATGTTATACAGATAAAATTAAATAAAAATTATTATCCCTGTTTTATATTTATAGTTAAGAGATAAAGCTATAATGCTCAAAGTATTTATGAAACTTGCTTCAAATCACACAGCTAATAAATGGTATACCTGATATACTGAACATCCTTCTAACTCCAAAGGCCTTGCTTACGCTCTCTTGTAAAATGAGGCTGTTCTCCATGATTACTTTATGCAATAAAAAGACATGCTTAAGGAATCCATTATTCTTCCAAAACATGCCATAGGAAAAAAAAAATTATTTGTTGAGTGATAATTATCTCACCACTTTACCCTGCCACTGCCTAAAAATAATTTTGGATTTTTAAAGTAGAGGTAACTCCTTGAAGTCTGTGACACAGAACACACAGTGTTCTTTATGGACTATGTACTGCGAAGTACTTAATAAATTTTAAAAATGAAGAATACATGGTAACTGATAGAGATACTATTTTCAACTAAAGTTTTAACACTTTCTAAAGTGTGTCTTTAAAATATACATTGTTTTTACTTTTCTAAATTTTGTGGTCCGATCTACTTTATTTATTTTTAAAAAGATTTTTATTTATTTATTCATGAGAGACACACAGGGAGAGGCAGAGACACAGGCAGAGGGAGAAGCAGGCCCCATGCAGGGAGCCCGACGCGGGACGCGGGACTCGATCCCGGGGGCCCCAGGATCACCCCCTGGGCTGCAGACAGGCGCCAAACCGCTGAGCCCCCCCGGGCGCCCCGATCCAATCTACTTTATATATTTGAAAAGAAACGACACGTTAAAAGCACCTAACTGCCCTTCTCTAAAATAACTTCTTACAGAATAATGAACGGATTTGGGTTTTCAAACAGCGATTTCTGGTTTGGTGTTTGGTGTTATGCTGTGGTTGTCACTGAAATCACTGAGTTAGCTCTTCGGAATACGCCACCTTGAGACCTCGTTCCCCCGTAGTCTGCATTACTAATGCTAAAATTTATCCAGGCTAGTCCAACTGAGGACAGAACGTTTATTATTAGGTCTACTGCTCTATCGAACAGGCCAAAATGAGAATCACTGGGTAGCCGGGGAAACGCTGTATGGGACAGGAGGGCAGGTTTCTTTACCAAGCGTTTGTACTAGGTACGGAGCTACATACGTCAGACGTAAAACAATCCTCGGCCCGTAAGAACAGCAAGTCTCGGGGAACTGAAACTCCAAAACGGCCGTGGTCTTTGATGCATCTGCTACCTATGTGTTTAAGAACCGGTGGACCACACCATCTCACCAGTTCGTCCCGCTGTTTGAGGTGATCGAACTCCAGACACCGGACCCAGAAGAGGAGGGCAGCAGTGAAGAAGAAAGCAAGCTTCCCCGGGGCATTTGACGGCAAAGTCCTCTCTCCACCTGGCCTGTGTAGGGACTCCCGGGTGGACCCGGCGGGGCCCTGAGACCGCAGCGGCCCGAGGAGCCCCCTGAAGAGCTGCGACCAGGCAAAGGCCGGTTCGGGCGCCTCCATGCCGGGCCTCACTCACCTCTTCCACTTCGATCTCCTTGTAATCGATCTCTTCAAAGTTGAGGACTTGGGACGGGGCTTCGATCATCTCACCGGCCGAAGACGAGGAAGAGGAGGAAGCGGCGGAGGCTGTAGACATGATCCCTCGCGGAGCCCGGGGGGCCCGGGGAGGCTGCCACCCGGACACTCCGGGGGAGACCCGTGCCCACCCGCCTCCGGACCGACCTTCAGCCTGAAGCCACGGCGATCCGTGGCGGGGGACAGGGGCAGCGGCCACAGCCGAGTCCCGGCCCCGGCTCCGCTGCGTTTTCCGCCGCCGGGCCCCGCCCACTGGACTTCCGGTTCCGGCCTGAAATCGGAAACTGTGGAGGAGGGCTGCGAGCTCTAGAAAGGGGAGGGGGGAATTTTGTGACTGAGACCGGGAAAGGAAGGGCCGGTTGGGGGTGGGGTGGGGGAAGAGCGAGAGGCGAGCTTAGAGCTGCGGAACAAATTTCGCGAGATCTTTATTGAAGGGCGCCCCCCCCAACGTCGGATGATACCGCGAGAGCTGATGCGGTGACGCAATTAAAGTGCGCGAGCGGAAGTGGCGCGGAGCCTGACGGAGTATCAGTGCGGTTGGTCGTTCAGAGACTGGCGGGAAAGATAAAAAAGTAAGGTTTCAACTCTGCTTCGTCAGCTGTGTTATGACGCGGGTCCCTTTAGTCTCAGAGACCTGCGGACAGATGGGGTAGTGTTGGACTGAGTTTTTGTGACGGAGCTTTTTTCAGTTTCACCCGTAAGGGAAACTGAGCTATTTCTTTAAAGAATCCTTGGGAGATGTTTTCTCTCAATGCGATGTATGGAAGGAAGCAGTTGCTACTCTTTGAGCCAGAGCCCCTGGTGTTACGAGGGATTCTAAAGAAAATGGTACAGAGCGAGCCAGCCAGCACGTGTAACCTGAATAACACTATGTAGGCTGAGTGCGCAGCAACAGACCTTAATATTAGGTAAGGTAGATATTTATGACTTGTATTCATCTGAAGTGATGGATTGCTTTGCTAGTCCTTGTCGAATGCGGAGCACTCAGGTGCTTTAACGTTTATAATGTACTTCATCAGTAACATCAGGTATTTTGGCTGCCATTTTTAAAGACCTGAGGAAATAGGCTCAGAGAGATGCAAAAATTGGGAGCTTCACGGGCTAGTAGAAGCTCGGTCGTTGTAGCTCCAAGGTGGATGGTGGTGCCTGTGTGGTGCTATCCACAGAACTTTTAGTTTTAAACTAGACTTTAAACTTTAGTCGATGTGACCTGAGGCCTAACTGGAAAAAATTGTGGAGTTCGAGATGAAGGCTGAAGGACCACGGATGAAACCTTAACACATGTCAAATTCTGAGACTCCGTAAAGGTGAAAGACAAAAGGAACAATTCAGAAAGGGGAAAGTGAGGGGAATGGAGAAGAGTTTTCCAATCAAAGAATAGCCGGCCCAATAAATGCTGTACAGAAAAGTAAGTTAAACACATTTGGGATAGCAAATAGGTCATTGCAATTGGCAATTAAGAAATTATGAAGAAATTCTGAACTGGAAACGATCTGTCATTTTTTATAGTTCCGGTAATACTCAATGATAGCTTGGTGAATAGCATAAAAAGAATGAAATAATTCCTTCTTGTTATACACTCTGAATGATACACAGTGTCCTGAGTACCTACACCACTTTTATGACCACTCCCAATCTCCCAGGCTCAAATATTACCTGAATTCCCGGACTATTGAACATCTCTATTTAGGTTTACCATAAACAGCTAAACTTCAAGATTCCAAAAGCAAATGCAAAAGTTACCCAACGCAAATATGTTTTCCTGTGTACATTTTCTAAGTCCATAAAGGATACCATCCATCTACTCATTTGTACAAGTGAGAAATCAGGACTTTATTTCTACATTTAAAGTGATGTTTAGGGGTAGCCCGGGTGGCTCAGCGTTTTAGAGCCACCATCAGCCCAGGGCCTGATCCCGGGTTCTGGGATCGAGTCCCACATCAGGATCCCTGCATGGCGCCGGCTTCTCCCTGCCTGTGTCTCTGCCTCTCTCTCTCTCTCTCTTTCTGTGTCTCTCATTAATATAAATAAATAAATAAATAAATAAATAAATAAATAAATAAATAAAATGATGCTTAGTGCTCTAATAACTAAGTAGAAGCAGATTAAGTCCATGGGATAACCATTTTCACCTGTCATTTCTGGATTTCTGAAATTAGGATTATATCATATGATAATTCTACCTGCAGGTCATTAATGATTTCTGTTTAACACCTTGATTTTAATTCAGTGGATCTACCAAGTGGAAGCACAAGAAATGTTTGGTCAATGTTCTAGCTGAATGACTAGCTTTTGCTAGTTCCCCCTTTGCCAGGCATGTAAGGTCTGTTTTCTGTACCTTCGGTTTAGAACTAGAATCCTGCTGAAAAGGTACTAATCATTCTAGCCATGATGCTATTCTCCTGCTTGATTTCCTCTCCCCACCCCAACATATTTACTATATCAAACATACAAAAAAAAATTGAAAGAATTTTACAGTGAACTCCTATATACTTACCATCAAGATTCTAACAACATTTTACGATATTTGCTTTATCCTATATTTGTCCATCTACTCACCCATGCACATGTATTTCTACCATTTCTTCTGTTGGATGCATTTCAAAGTGAACTTCCTACTGATTCTGAAATCCACTCCAGAATTTCTGCTTCTATATTTTATCCACTGATTTGGACTTAGATACTGATACTAGTCTAAAGTCAATTCTGTGTGCTTGTTGACTGCTTTGGCGGGGGGGATTGGCAGGTAGGTTCCAGTGCCTGGAACCTTTTCACTAGCTTATGATAAAGTCCCGCCACTGTTCATGTGTGGATCCAGTCATCCCCTAGATCAAAGTTCACCTCTCCTGTGATTTGATTATGTGGGTGGTAAATCCCCATTTTTCTTTTAAGCTGAGTCAGGTTGTATTTTTGTCACTGGCAATCAGTGTCCTGAGTAATACAGTTTGAATCCAGAGAAATGAGGAAGGAGGGGCTGAACTTCCCTTAATTCACCTCAATTTTTATTTTGTGTTCCCTTTAACTTTCATGAGTTAAGAATAGAAGGTTGGACCTCACGATTTCAACTTCAGATTCCTGTCTGCTGTGTCTACACAAATTTCCAGAGATACATACAAGGTTATTAAAGGGCCTTCTTGAAGTCCCCCAAAATTTGAGCACTCTCCACCAACCACCCCCATATCAATGTCCTGATAACTACTCTTTAACCTTCAACCCTGTTTTCAATTTTAACTCTGTGCTATCGATGGGATGAGGATCAAGAGTTTTGAAATTCATTTCCCACTATCTCTTTGCATGGTTTAAGTGGGATTCTTATCTTACTTAGCTCATTTTGGATATGAGGATATCTGGAGCCTATTTTCATGGAGACTTAGCAGAAACAGACTAAAATAGTTCCACTTTAATGTTCTTTTGCATTGGCATGTATAATACATCAGATAAAGAATTCCATACTTTGTCAGTTAATATATTTGTTATGAATAACAGGAGACTCATCTCAAAATGGGTTAAACAATAAAGGGAATTTATTTTCTTAGTTAAATGGAGAGTCAAGAGCTAGAATAGGTTTTAGATGTCATAAACTTAATGATAGCATTAATAATTTAATTTCCATTATTGTCTTCTCCTTTTTGTGGTAATTGCCATTGCTCTAGAACAGTGTTTCTCAACCTTTTTTTCTTTATTGCTCCCCTAAAGAGCCTTTTAAGATTTTTTTCTCAATGCTTCCCCCTGCCAAGTTTTAATATTACAGTTATAGTGCATGTCTGTTTATGGACTGTATGCCTGTTTTATGATTTGTGCATAAAAAGAATAAGATTTTTTCTTCCCAGTTTTGACCCGCACTGAGAATGTAGGCTCTAAGGAGTTTTGCTTTTCATGTGACATACACACTCTACAGTACAATGACAGAGAGTCTCTCTTTTGGTAGCTCTTTCAGAAGAGCAGGGAACTTCTTTTTCAAAAAGCCCTTGGCAATTGTACCCTTGAGTGAGCAATAGAGGACAGGTGGTTTGAGGTTGAAAATATCTGGGATAACTTAGGCTGAGGACTCATGGGATTATGGGCTTTGAGAGGGAGGAGCTCCTAACCAGAAGAAAAATCTGAAGACTCCTAGGAGGCAAAGCAGGGAATGGTTGTTTGGTTTGCAACCAACAAATGTTCATTATTAATATGTCTCTTCAGATGGAGCTCTATATCTAGAAAGTGTATCTTTACTGCCTGTCCTAGAACCAAACTAGCCCAAACTGATCAAATATTATTCTTTCCAGGAAGCTCACAAATAGTTTTCTGTTGTACTTATTCAAAACTTCAATACACAGAGGATAGCCAGCTCCTTAGCAATTCAGTGACACTGCTGGAGAGCAGCTCTGCAAATTCGTGCATTTCTCAAATATTTGAGTGTATTCCATATTTTCTAACTCCCCACATCTTTATTCTAGGTCTTTCACAGCCCATGGAGTTGCAGAAAGGGTTTGTGTTTCAGATGCCCATAATGTGGATGGTAAAGGCCTGTGAGGGGGGAGTAGAGACAGGTGCAATTCCAAAACATTCTCGACATTATGTATAACAGACATTTCTGTTTGCAGCTAACTAATGTTTTATTTTTCACTCCCTCAGCTAAGCTGGCTGTAAGGCAACTGCTTTGATGGTGCCTTTATGTCCTACAGATGAAATCTCCATTGTTTTGAAATATTTGATAAGAAAAAGTTCAACTGGTTTCCAAATCCATTCATATTATCACAAGGAATTTGAATATTACATTTGTATTTTTTTACATTTGCATTTATTTTTTGAACATTACATTTGCATTTAAAGAAAAGCTGTTAGAGTCTTAAATATGATTTCAACTTTTGCAAATTTTAAAATGGTTCTAAAAACTTTTGAACACTTTTTTTTCATTTCTTTGTATAAACAAAGTTCCTCTTTGGTGATGACTATCAAGAATTTGAAGGGAACATCCTTAAAGGTCTCCATCAGGAATTGATAGTAAGCAGTTTAAGCAGAAAATCTTATATTAAGTGAAATTTATGAAGGAAAGCATATTAAAAATTACTATTAAAATTTTGAAAATATGTTTGATATTTATATAAACTCAATTCTTAACATTGTTTCTAATGTTTTGTGTTTATTTTTTAAAATTACATAGTATGAGAAAAGCAATTATATTCTTTTATTAAGCCCCAGATAGATACATTAAAATCCTTCACAGTTCATCTCAGAGTATCTTACAATATCATTCTCTATGTGAAAAACTTTTAAGAAGCAC